AACCCCTTTGAAGTGGGGAGCCCTCTGCTCTCTGCCAGGTCTCAGCAGGGAAAGGACCCACGGGCAGCCCCCAGCACAGGGTTGCCTGGAAGACCCAGTGCCTGAGGTTTCCCAAATTTTTTCCAGAGATGGGCATGTTTTGAATTTAGGCTTTCGTGTCAAGCTGTGTGCCAGTGCGAGGATTTAATTTGGGTTTGATGTTTATTTATTTAATTTTTGAAGCCGCAGAGCACGCACCGCCAGGGAAATCTGGTTTTTGTCTGCATGTGGAGGGTCTGAGCAGGGAAATGCCTCTTCTGGGATGACATTTCCACAGGGAAAGGCTTTGGGGTTGGAGGAGAGGCAGGTTCACCCCAAAAGCCTGGGTCTGAGAGCTGGATCTGGACGCTCCAGGCTGCCCCACAGAGCTGGTTGTGAGGTCAGGGCTTTTCTTATTTCTGGACACCAATAAAAGAAAAAAAAATTGATTTTTTTTTTTCTTAAAAAGTTCAGAATTTTGCCTTTCTTCCTTTTTTTTTTTTTTTTTTTTTTTTTTTTTTTTTTTTTTTTTTTTTTTTTTTTTTTTTTTTTTTTTTTTTTTTTTTTTTTTTTTTTTTTTTTTTTTTTTGGGGGGGGTGGGGGCAGGAAACCAAGCGAAGTGTTTCCTTTCCCAGCTGGATGATGCCCTGGGATGGGGGCCTCCTAAAGATGGGAGAGTGTGCTCTGAAATGCAGCTGATGGAGGGGGAACAGCATTTGCTCTCCAAAATATCCTCCCCGTCCTCCCTGCTGGGGCTTCCTCACCCTCACGATCCCCTGGGTGTGGGAGGGATCACAGAATGGTGTGGGTTGGAGGGGACCTTTGAAGTTCATTTTGTTCCAACACCTTCCACCAGCCCAGGTTGCTCCCAGTGCACAATTCCCTGTTTTCCAAGCCACTTGCAAACATCCCGTGGGCAATCCTCACCTGTGCCTTGTCCTCCCCAGCCCAGCAGAGGTGTGCAGGGCAGGCAGCTGCTCCTTACCCTGCAGAGACTCAGCTCCCTGCTCTCCCACCCCACTGGATCTGCTCCTCCCTGACCTCTCCTGCTCCACCAAGAGCAGCTGAAAGTGTGGGGAGCAGCCCCCACCTGTGCCAGGGTGTCCCCTCTGCTGGGGTGTCAGCAGCAGGTCCCAGACCATCCTCTCCTGCTGCAGCAGCTGCCCAGCTCCTCCCAGGCCATGGCTGAGGCTCACCTGTATTATTAATTCCTCCTGGCATCAGCCCAGGGCTGGTTGAATCCCCAGCACGGTGAGGCTGCCCCTGCCTTCCCCTGCTCCTCCCTTTCTTTTCAGTGGCTGGGATTTGCCATCCAATAGTGCTGACCTGGCAGCAATCTCCGAGCTCCACCGTGGTCGTGTGCCACATTTCTGACTTGCAAATAACTTGCAGGGAGAGCGAGGGTGTATTTATCAAACACAGCCAGGGCTGCATCTTTATTTAGCTCCTTCTGTTTCCACACTGTATAATTCATGAAATTGCCTCAGAAAGCCGGGGCGGAATTAAATCGTTGACCAGCCCGTGAACCGCAGTTGACACTTCCATTATTTTAAAAGGGAAGCTGAGAGAAACTAAAACCTGACAAATAACCCTGTGCTGGGGGAGAGGGGCCTGGAAGGAGCTCAGTGCTGCCTGAGCAGAGACAGGCAGGGCAGGGGCAGCCCCAGATCCATCCTGCTGGATGCTCCAGATCCATCCTGCCCTGCCAGGGGGAGGGGTTCCCTCCCAGATGATGGGAAACCTTCCTGAGCCCTCCATGGGGTGCTGGCTGGCACCTCTGGGCTCATCCCCCAGAGTGAGGGGGGGATTCTGCCCTTCTGCCCTGCTCAGGTGAGACCCCCCTGCAGAGCTGCCCCAGCCCTGGGGAACAAAGCAGAGGGATGTGGAGCTGCTGCAGAGTCCAGAGGAGGCCACAGAGCTGCTCCCAGGGCTGGATCCCTCTGCTCTGGAGCCAGGCTGGGACAGCTGGGGGATCCAGGGAGACCTGAGAGCCCCTTGCAGGGCCTAAAGGGGCTCCAGGAGAGCTGGAGAGGGAGTGGGGACAAGGGATGGAGGGACAGGACACAGGGAATGGTTTCCCACTGCCAGAGGGCAGGGACAGATGGGATATTGGGAAGGAATTCCTCTCTGTGAGGGTGGTGAGGTCTTTATAGTTCCTTCCAACCCAAACCATTTTAGGATTCTATAAAAATCTCCTAGAGAACGTTGGCATCAAACTAAGCTGGGGCAGTGCCCGCTGCCCAATTTATCTCAGCTATAACTGGCATCATTAACCTACCCAGTCCATACATTGTGTCCCACCAGGACCACTCAGCGCTGCAAAACAAATAAATCTTTAAGAGTTTGAACCCTGTTCACAGAATTGCTGCTCCATAAATCATTCACATCAGCCAGGCTGCTTTCTAAAGGCCTCCCTGGCTTCCCACTGGCAAGGCAAAGGCAGGGAGCTCTAAATAGTTTGGCTTTGTAAATATTCCCCAGCACCCAGCAGCTGTCTCTGGGCAGGTAACGAGGCACAGGATGTTCTCCTCAGCTTTGAGCCACGGCTATTCCAGGGGAATTTTTTTCCCAGCACGCTGCTCCAGTTTTCATAGAACCACAGAATCCTGGAATGGTTTGGGTTGGAAGGGACCATCCTGTTCCACACCCTGCAGGGACACCTTCTACCAGCCCAGGTTGCTCAGAGTTCATCCAGCCTGGCCTTGGACACTTCCAGGGATCCAGGAGTAGCCACAGCTTTTGTAGGCAACCTGTGCCAGGGCCTGCCCACCCTCCCAGCCAACAATTCCTTCCCATTATCCCACCTCTCCCTGTGTCCTGGCACTGCCTGTTTATCCCCTGGCAGCTCTGCAGTGGGCTGTGACTCGGGGCTGTGACACAGGAGCTGTGTCAGAGCCATCACACCAATCCGCTGCCTCTCCCTCAGACCACGCTCCTGCTTTCCTATTCGAAGTTCCCTTTGTTCCCTCTGCCTGTGCCGATCCTTGCCGTGTGATGTGGGGATCTGAAGGACGGGCAGCTCCCTTCTCCAGTGCCTCCTTTAAAAGCCCTTCAGTGCTGGAGTCCCTCCTTCCCGCTCAGCCCTTTCCCGGCTCAGCCCCTTTGTTGTGCTCGCTTTCAGCGCGGTCCCCGTTCCATCAGAGGAATCCAGAGTACAAAGCTCCCTGCCTCTCTGCCTCCCTCCTCCCCGCAGCATCCTCTGTCATTACATCCTCTCCGCTGCTCCACAGCTGTTCCCGAGCTCCCCTCCAGCATCCCAATCGCGGAGCTGCACATCATTCCAGCGCCGGGGACGCGCGCGGAGCCCGAGGGATTCCTGCGCAGGGATGTGGTGGATAAGGCTGACTCCCAGCGGCTCCCGGACTCGGCCGGAGCTCCCTCTCTTCCCTCTCCGGGATGGATTGATTGCAGGAGCGCTCAGCTCCTGGCTGAGGAGATTTTTATCCCTTCCTTCCAGATGCTGCAGCTCCGAGTGCCCGTGCTCGCCCACGGCTCCCCAGATAACGGCGTTTGGAGTGGTGCTCCTCCAGAAAATCCCTGCAAAACCAGCTGGCGTTTCCTGCTCCCGGCTGGATAATTGGATTCCCGTGCAGGGTGGGCTCGGGTTTGGTTGCCTGCCTGAAAGCTCCGAGGTGTTTCCAGCCAGGCTCCAAAGGCTCTCTGCCTGGAGCAGAGCCCTGCCTGCCCATTCCCAGCTGGAAATGAGCACTTTGCCACCAGCAGCCCCAGTTGCCCCCCAGCTGCCCCCCTGAGAGTCTCGTGGACACTCCTGTAGTGTCACTCACCAAGCAGGAACCTCATTTTCCCTCCTCTGGGCTTGCTCCCATATTTAAGCATCCCTCGAAGAGATGTGGTACTTCTTTGATGCCCTTTTAATATCCATGATTTGATCCCTCAGGGCAACTCAGTTTTCTTTGCTTTCCCAATGATTAAGTAAACATTGGATAATGGTGGCATTTTGGATGACCTGCAGGCAGGGGAAAACCAGGGGATTGTTCAGCCTGGAGAAGAGAAGGCTCCAGGGAGACCTGAGAGCCCCTTGCAGGGCCTAAAGGGGCTCCAGGAGAGCTGGAGAGGGACTGGGGACAAGGGATGGAGGGACAGGACACAGGGAATGGCTTCCCACTGCCAGAGGGCAGGGAGAGATGGGATGCTGGGAAGGAATTGCTGGCTGGGAGGGTGGGCAGGCCCTGGCACAGGTTGCCCAAGAAGCTGTGGCTGCCCCTGGGTCCCTGGGAGTGTCCAAGGCCAGCCTGGATGGAACTGATGTCAGAACCACGTCACAGAACCACAGGACATCCTGAGCTGGAAGGGGACCCCAAGGATCATTGAGTCCAACTCCAGGCCCTGCACAGGACCCCCCAAAACTCACAGCATGGCAGCCCTGGCCAGGCTGGTGGCCCTGGCTCTGAGGGAAAACCCTTCATCTCCCTGAGCCGGCGGGGATGGGAACACTCCTAGAAACGCTCTGGAGGCTTGTCTGGTTTGCTGTTGGGGTTTTTTTAAGGAATAGTAACTCATGTCCCATCTCCCACTGGGGATGCATCTCCAGCATAGCCAGACAGCTGCAAAATAAACCCCCCAGGCTCCTTCCCCTCGGAGCTGGCCCCGGGGACGGCGCGTTCCTGCTCACCTGATTTATTATCCCTGCTCCCACACACACACACCAGCATTCTTCCCGGGAAAAGAAAAGCTGGCAACTGGAGACAGCCCCTTGGAAACAGCCAAGTGTTTGTCTGTGCTTTCATTTCTCGGAGCACAGGGAGGAAGGGAAAAAAAAAATACAGCAGGGAAAGCTTGAAAAATCAGAGCAATCAGAGGCACTTACAGGGCTGGAGGACAAGGAGGAGTCGGTGCTTCTGCCGGGGAGGGCTGGGCTGGAGACCTGAGGAGTTTTGCATATTCCAAAAAACAAATAGACTCATCCTTGGGTTTTGTTGTTGTTGTTCTTCTTCTTCTTTTTGTTTTTTTTTTTTGGTTTTTTTCAGAATTGCAGGAATCAGAGATGGAAGAGACCCATTAACTGATCTTTGTGTTCCCTCCAGGGCAGAGCAGGATTTCTCCCTCAGGGGGTTATTTTTAGCACTCTGTTGAGCAGAGTTCTCAGTGTCTCTCATGACATGGGGGTTTCTTTTCCAGGGATTTAGAGGTAGGAATGATAAATCAGGTTCTGCTGAAAGAAGGCTTGACCCAGAGATGAGATGAGGATCAGAGTGGTGCTGTGAGTTCAGAAATGTTTTTGCTGGTGTGTTTTTGCTCTCTCTCTAACACGTTTCTGTGTCTCTCCACAGCGAGCCTTGCCTGGGAAGGAAGGAGGCAACAGAGCCCCAGCTCTCCAGGGACTTTTGTTCTCACAGAGAAGTAGAAATGTGACAATTGCTCTGGAAGAAGCTTCACACTGGCATCCCACGTCCCAGGAGATGTCATACACCCTTAGATGAATGGCACCTGTCCCCAGGCTCAGCAGGCAGAGGTAAATTGTGCCAGTGGGTGATTCCTAGCATGGATTTGGGGTGACTGTGCTCCCTGTGCTCTGCAGGGAGCCCAGAGAACCAACACCAGAGCTGCCAAGGTCCAGGGCAGCTCTGGCCTCTCACACCCACAGGATATTTCAAGGACACCCTGAATTAACAGCCTCAGTCTCCTCAGCAGGGTCTGGAGGGTCCAGCATCACCTGCAGCCTCTGGGATCCCGTGACAGGAGGAATCAGCCTCAAGCTGTGCCAGGAGATGTTTAGGTTGGTCATGAGGGAAAGTGTCCTCATGGAAAGGGTGGGCAGGCACTGGAACAGGCTGTCCAGGGAGGTGCTGGAACCCCCAGCCCTGGGGGGATTAAAAGCTGTGTGGATGTGGCACCTGGGGACATGGGGCAGTGGTGGCCTTGGCAGTGCTGGGGAATGGTTGGACTCTTAGAGGACTTTCCCAGCCTCTGGAATGATGTTTGCAGGCCAGTGATGCAGGTTGTGGGCAAGGCTCCACTGACTCCTGGTGCAGTGTTAACCCTGGAGAACCAGGAGCTGCTGTGGGGCTCACAGGGGAGGTGCTGGGGGGATGGGGGGGTCTGCCAGTGCTGCATCCCTGCCAGGAAACAGCTGGCACTGCCATGGGGCACAGGGATGGCTGAGCACTGTCACGGGACACTGTGATGGGTACACAATGCCATGGAGTATGGGGATGACCCTACACTGCCATGGGACACAGGGATGACCCTACACTGCCATGGGGGATGGGGATGACCCTACACTGCCATGGGATGTGGAGATGACCCTACACTGCCATGGGACACAGAGATGACCCTACACTGTCATGGGACACAGGGATGACCCTACACTGCCATGGGACACAGAGATGATCCTACACTGCCATGGGATGTGGGGATAACCCTACACTGCCATGGGACACAGGGATGGCCAAAGTCCCACACAGGCTTAGGCCACGCTGCCAAAGGGCCTTGGCACAAACCACTCCCCAAGGTGCATCCCTCTGGGATTCAGGACATTCCTCCCCTCTTTTCCTCACCCTTTCCCCCCACATCTCTGAGCAGGAGGGGCTCTGTCTGCACAAAGCCAGCCTGGGCTGTGCTCCCCTCCCAGGGGCACCTGTGTGAGGGAGAGGTTTGGTTTTACACTGCTGCACTCTGCCCAAAAAACATTGGCTTAACATTATCACAGGGTAAGTCAACAAATCTGCAAAAGCCTCCCCGTTTTCCCCACTTCTCTCGCACCTTTGGAGACGAAGCTCCAGCTGCGCCGCTAAGTTGTGGTGATTTATTGGCGGGCTGAGGAGCTGGGTTTAAATCCTGCATCTTTGGGATGCTGGCAGCCTCGCTTCCCATAAATCTTAACCAGTATTTCTAAGCCCTTTTATGCCAGCTGCTTTCATGTATCCAGAGCCTTTTCCGTGCAGTAGCCTGTGAAAATATTGAACCGATGCCCAGAGCAACACCAGGATATGAAGGGGAAAACTTTAAGATGTTTTGTAACTATTTTCTTTTTTTTTTTTTTTTTCCCCTTTTTCCCAGAACCTGCCAAATCTTAATTTTTCCAGTTTACAAGTAAGAGCCTCTAAACCATCTGTTTGCTGTCAACTGATGTTTGTTTGGAGAGGGATTTTATTATTTTTTTCCATCTCGCACTCCTGTTCTTACAACTAGTTTACTGAACTTCATAAATGTCAGCTCTCACAGTCGTTTCGTGAGCCAGTTATGATTTAGGATTTAATCAAAATTGAGCAGTCAGTGTCTTTAATCAATAGGAATGGAGATCAAAAACAAAGGAACGGGGGACTGAGGAATGAAACATTTAATGTATCCCCACCGCCTTTCAAAGAGCCTGATTTGCACCGTAATGGCAACCAGGGATCGTTAGAACAAACCTTAAAAAAACCCACCCAGCCTCCAAAAACTGCTCCTTGTGTTGGTGTGTTTTTTTGTGTTTTTTTGTTTTTTTTTTTAAGATGAAAAGGGCCAAGGCAATTTAAGGCTTAAAAGCAATTCCAACCTTTTATGTCATTAAATATTAAAAATGAAGCCGCCGCGGCGGCGGCTCCGGGGCCGGGAGAGCTCCGGGCACAGGGACGGGGCTGTGGGAGCCCCAGGAACCCTTTGCTCCCCCCCCAGTTTGGTCCATGGGGGTGTTGTGGGGCACCCCTGCATTGCTCTGTGCTCTCTGTGGGATTTGGGCACTGGCATTGCCACGGTCAGGAGTGAGGTCAGGAATGGGCACCAACCAAGTCCACCCGAGGTCATACATGGATTTAGTGTGGGAATAAACGCTGGGGGTGAGAAGCGCAGCCAGATCTTCCTCTAGCTCCACTCCATCCCCCCTGATGCTCCATCCCTCCATCCTTCTATCCCTCCATCCCTCCATCCTTCCATCCTTCCATCCCTCCATCCCTCCATCCTTCCATCCCTCCATCCCTCCATCCTTCCATCCCTCCATCCCTCCATCCTTCCATCCCTCCATCCTTCCATCCCTCCATCCTTCCATCCCTCCATCCTTCCATCCCTCCATCCCTCCATCCTTCCATCCTTCCATCCCTCCCTCCCTCCATCCCTCCATCCTTCCATCCCTTCATCCCTCCATCCCTCCATCACAGGCCGGGCTCGGCTCAGTTCGGCTCCGCTCGGCCGGGTTCGGCTCGGCGCTCTCGGGCGCCCCCTGCCGGCGCATCCCGGTGCAAGCCCATATTCTTGGAATCCTAAAATCCTGGAATGGTTTGGCAGGGACACCTTCCACCAGCCCAGGTTGCTCAAAGTTCAATCCAACCTGGCCTTGGACACTCCCAGGGATCCAGGGGCAGCCACAGCTTCTCTGCCCAACCTGTGCCAGGGCCTGCCCACCCTCACAGCCAGGAATTCCTTCCCAATCTCCCATCTCTCCCTGCCCTCTGGCAGTGGGAAGCCATTCCCTGTGTCCTGTCCCTCCATGACTTGTCCCAAGCCCCTCTCCAGCTCTCCTGGAGCTCCTCCAGGCCCTGGAAGGTGCCCCCAGCCCATCAGGGACTATCAGCAGGTCTGCAGCCTAAAGGATTCACGTTTCCATCACTGTGGGTCCAGGGGGGTTGTCTCTGCATTCCAGTGAGTGGGGAGGGATTTTTTTTTCCCCTCTGGAAAAGCTGCTCCCTAAAATGCCCTCTGCAAATACACGTCTCAGACAAAACACTCTGCTGCCTGAGGGCATTGCAGTCCTCACGGAACCTTTCCTGCGGATCAGAGCCCGGATTTCTCCCGGGCAAATGCATCTCTTCTCATCTGCTTTCCCCCTTTGATGCATTTGTGTGTCACAGGGGCCTAAAACGCTCCTTTAATAGTTCTGGCCCTGCCAGAGAAGCTGAGGTTTCTTTGCTTTCCTGTTTCTTCCCAATTTCCCTCCTCCAGGCTCCCCAGCAGCTCCTTCTCCGTGGGAGCCCCTGCACACCCCCAGCCCTGAGCTGGGAATATCTGTAGCTTCCAACAGCGATGCTCAAAAATGCATCGTGTCAAATTATTTGCCTCAATGAGTGGAGGCTCCCAGGAGAAGCCCAGGCTGTTAATGACAACAGCAACAACAACAATTAACCTGTCTGGTGGTGCCTGTGGAGCTTTAAATCTCATCCCATCCCACCCCCTGCCATGGGCAGGGACAACTTCCACCAGTCCAGGTTGCTCCAAGTTCAATCCAACCTGGCCTTGGACACTTCCAGGGATCCAGGGGCAGCCACAGCTTCTCTGGGCAACCTGTGCCAGGGCCTGCCCACCCTGGGAGCTGGGGGAGCAGCTCCCTGCCATGGCTGGGCTCTGATCCCACCCGGGAAACAGGGACACTGGGGAACCTGTGGCTTCTCCTGCTTTAAAGAGCAGTTTCCCAGCCCTCCTTCCTGCAGGTGGGCTGCCTTTTTAATTAGCTTTTCCCCCCTGTCATTTTAACCTTCTCTCTCGTGCTGGTGGTTTTATCTCAGCGCAGGATGCACAAAGCTCCACTGTTTTGTTCTCGGAGTCAGCTGGATGATCGAGATTTTTGCAGCCTCCTGAATTATTGATGGGAACTCAGTTACTCACTAAATATTATTGCTTCCATCCTGTCAGGGAGAAGATCACAGTAATATTTTGTTAATTCAAACATCTTTCTCTGAGGCTGTCGATGACAGGCAAAGCGCTCACATAATATACAAAGGTGCTCGTTACAGGGGCAGAACGTCATTAATTTGAGCAGCAGCAATAAGTCACTGCTGGGTGAAAAGTGGCTTTGGGAATGCAGGAGTCGTCTCCGAGGCTTGGGTGGTGTTTCTGATTAACTGGGGAGCTCATGGGGTTTGTGCAGCTGATGCTGTTGGATCAGGATGTTGAGGTCGCCCCCCACATTCCCCCCACGTCCCTGGATGAAGGTGGGACGGTGGTCTGGGGATGTGGCACTGCCATCCCTCCCCAGTTCAGGGGGCAGCAGTGTCTGAGTGGTGTGTGCCCACCGTGCAGAGTCTGGGGTCCCCTCGTGTCCCCTGGGCTGGGGTCTCCCTGCTGAGTGGCACCTGATTGCTGGGGGGGCACAGACAGGGGAGGAGCAGTCCCAGGATCCCACAACAGCTGGGATTGGAAGGACCCTCTGGACATCACCCAGGCCAACCCCCTGCCCTGGCAGGGTCACCTGGAGCAGGTGACACAGGAACAGGCACGTCCCTGGTGTGTCAGTGCCACAGCCCTGGCTCAGGGCCGAGGCCCTTCGAGTTGTACTTTCACACCGATGTTTTTTGGGTTTCTTTGGTGGTTTCTTCCCCCACCCCCAAGTCATTACAAGCTAAACAGCTCAAACAATCTTCAAGGTGAAATCTGCTTCTCATTACTCCACCAGGGCACGGCGGCTTCATTTTCATAAGTTCCATTACCATATGCAGCCAGAGAGCGCTTTGCTCTGCTCCATATTGTCAACATTAAATAACCCCTTTTTGTGGTTACATCATAAAAATTCCTCAGATCTTGGAAGCGGGCTGGGGATATTTGCATATGTATATCTTTAATTTTCGCAGCACAGCCTGGCTACCAGATGGGGGAACCGACTAAGCCTCCAACATTTCTCGGCGAGTTCAGCGCTTTCCTGTGTTGGGAACCGCAGAGGAAACGAGGTGGTTTTCAGCCACGCTGAGCCCCTGCCAGCCCCTAACCTTGGGATATTTTCACAGGGAAGGGGGAAAGGGAGGAGGGGGAGGGAGGAAGAGGGGAGGGGAGCCTTTTCCCTGGAACCAGATGGCCGTATGGAATCAATAAAAGGCAGTTTGCAAAAGTTTGTTTACTTAACATCGGGGAGAATGTGCCTTTGTGGTCCCTCTGCACGGCACGGGGACGGGATCCCGCAGCCCCCCGAACCAGGGCGGGGAGGGCCTGGCCAGGAAGGGCCTTTTCCCTTGGAATTTACCCTGGATTGGGTGCCTTGAACCCCACAGGACTCGTCCCGAAGGGCCTGAGAGGTTTGGGGTGGAAACATCACCCCCCTGGGAGCGCTGGACAGGGATTGGGGTGATGTATCTCTTCCCAAGCCTGGATTGCAGTGTTTGGGGTGGAATGATGTTTTTGGGGTGGAATGATGTTTTTAGGGTGGAGTAATGTTTTTGGGGTGGAATGATATTTTTGGGGTGGGATGATGCCTTTTGTGGTGTAACCATATTTTCCTGGGGTATAATGATGATTTTTTTTGGGGGGGGGGGGGGGGGGTGGTTTAATGATCATTTTCTTGGGGTCTAATGGTGTTGTTTAGAGTGTAATGATGATTTTTAGGCTACAGGGATGCTTTTTGGGAGTGTATTGGTGATTTTTTGGGATCTAATGGGGATTTTTGAGTGTAATAATTCGGGGTGTAGCGATGGGGGTTTTAGGGTATAATGATGATTTTTTTAGGGTGTAATGATGTTTTTGTGGATATAATGATGAGGTTTAGGGTATAATGATGGGGTTTAGGGTGTAATGATGTCATTTTGGCTTGTAATGATGGGGTTTGGGTGTAATGATGCTTTTTAGGGTGTCATAATGATGTTTTGGGGTGTAAGGCTGATTTTTTTGGAGTCTAATGATTTTTTTTTAGTGTATCCATGTGTTTTAGAGTGTAATGATTATTTAGAGTATAATAATTTGTTGGGGCTGTAATGACTTTTTTGGGGTACAGTGACCTTTTGTGGGTGTAATGATGTGGGTGTGTTTAATGATGCCATTTTGGGGCGCCATGAAGGTGGCTCTGCGTGCAATGAGGGTTTTTTGGGGGATATAATGATGAATTTTGGGCTCTACAGGTCCCTAAACCGCCTCCCAAGGCAGGCTGGGCCCTGTGCTGCGTGTGAGAGACGTCTGAGAACGTGCAAGGTATTAATCATCTGCCATAATTATTTTTAAACATCCCAAATTATCCGAGTAGTACAGCAAGAAAACAACGTCGCCTCGTCTTTAAAGCAGAGCCTCATTACGCCAGTCTGTCATCTGTTAATTCATTAGAGCCCTGACAGCAAGAACAGAGATCAAAACTGCTCTAAGTGATTCCTGATGACACACAATGGCAAATTTCAGCCATTATTCCGGAAATGTAACCTCGTTCCTTCTGCTGCCTCCAACAAGGGCCCTTCCGCCGCTATTAATTGCCTTCTGAGTGGTTGCATGTGTCGTGTTTGGGTTGTTGCTCAGATCTCTGCTTTGAAACGCTGCTGGGGAGGGGAATTTGGGGCTGCTCGAAGGGGCTGAGCCAGCCCTCGGGGGGGGGGGGTTGGGACAGGCTCCAGATCTCAGGAAAATAATAATAATAATAATAACAATAATAATAATAAAAATAAATATTAAAGCTATCTTTTTAAAGAAAAAAGGGTTTTGTTTGTTTGTTTGTTTGTTTTCCTAAAGATCCCAGTTGGGGTTTTCAGGCAAGTTGTAAAT